GTGTGCTCTGCATTTTCACATAAACTGCCAAGGAGGTCAGTGGACTGAGGCTTTGGCGATTCGGTCTTCTGGACAGAAGCATTCAGTCCAGATGCAGAGCAGTCATCGATGACTCTAGGCTTGCTCTTTTGAATAACGGCGAAGCGGCCATTTATCAGCGAATCTGGCTCTAAGGAAGCTGGATCCAGAGGCTCCGACGCCCACCCTTTGAAGGCTTCTTTATGGGTCTTCTCCACGATGATCGCATTATGAGGCGAAGGCTTGGAGGCATCTTCCAGCATGCTCTTGCGTGCGGCAGGCGCTTCTTGGGCAATCTTATCAAGCGACTTCTCTGCGGGATGGAAGCACGGCGGGAAAACATCTGAGACCGGGACTTGCCCTTCCAAATCAACCCCATCCCTCATCAAGAACATTACACCCAAATCTGGGTAGCCGTAGGTTTCCGACAAGCGCCTGAAGTTTTCCAACATCGGTTATTTTGACCCAGCCCAGAAAGGCCCCACACTGCGCGGTGCATGTATGCCCTGCCTTTTGGGGCTAGCAGGGCGGTTTACGGTTACCTTAGGATAGCGCACAGCTTGTGGTGGCTGGCGGTCAGGTGCCTGGCCTTAATGATGGCTCACTTCTTCGATGATTTCATCACAGTTTGCCGCAGGGGTGAGTCCAGCCTCGTGCCTGAGAATTCTTTAAGTTGCTGGGTTGGAAGGTGGCCGAGGACAAAGACTGCGACTTCGCTTCCGAGTTTTGGGGCTCTAGGGTGGGTGTCGTTTTCCAATTTTGCCAGAGGCGAAGTTTGCTTCACGAACACATCCGGACGGGTGGAGGAGCTGTGGCACTCTCTTGAGTCTTTGCTTGTGGAGCGCAGAGCATCAGCAAGTTCATTGAGCGTCTGAGGGGCAGGATGCTTTACGCGGGAGGCCAGCTTTTCGGAAGACTTGCCAAGCTCTGTGTCCAGGCGCTGCGATCTTGCGAGGCGGGAGGCCTTGTGTCAGACGAGGCGGCCGAAGCGATATCTCTGTACCTTGATCTCCTTGTCAAAGGGCCCCCAGACTGGTGACCCGGGTAACGGTGAAGCCCCTATTCCTCTTCACTGATGCGGCCTACAAAGGGCAACCAGGCGTCGAAAGGTGTGGAATGGGCGGCGTCCTTCTGGATTCTGATGGCAACGCTTGAAGTTCTTTTGAGCTCATGAGATCCCAAAGGAGGGCTCTGGGGGAAGGCTGCACCTCCTCCATCATTTGCGAGGCAGAGCTGTGTGCTGCCATTTTGGCCATGGTGTTGTGGAAGGACGTTTTGTGTAGACGGCCAGTAATCGCATATATTGACAACAACAGTGCCCAAGATGTCCTCAGAAGCGGACTGGCTAGAAATCGAGTGGCCATAGCCCTCACGAAATTTTATTTGACGGTTGAGTCGTTGTCCCGTTCATACCCTTGGTTTACGAGGGTCCCAAGCCCGTCCAACTGTGCCGACTTGCACTCGCGCAAGTCAATTCTTGAGTGGCGCGGGTTGCGCGCTTCCGATCACTGTGAAGCTTTGTCCTCCCTTCTGGAAGTTTGCCCTTCTGTGCCAGGATAGGCTTGAGAGTGATGCCCGAACTGCATGGATCGGGCGGACGCGACTGCACCAAGCCTTGGAATCCTTTGTGAGTGCGCACCCCTCAACCCTAGGTAGGGTTCTAGGGTTTAGGAGCCCCCCTGCCTCCTGCATAGGTCCGGTTAATAGCGGGTTCTGGTTACTTGCCTGAGCAGACTAGCCTGGTCTTTTCTTGTGCCACTGTGTGAGGGCCATGCCTGGCCCATTGCAAGCCCTTCTGCGACCATCAGCGTATGGTCTAGCATACCAGACTTCGCGGATGGATTCCCCTAATCACCCATGGAAAAAGCATTCCGGTGCGCGTTCTGCATTCTGTTTCGCTGCTGCATTGTGAGTGACTTGAGTGAATGCAGAATTTGAAGAATATTATTTTCTCAACTTGAAGATATTCAACTTTGAAGAATTTTGTGACCAAAGGTTTTTGGTTTATAAGTTTTGGCACTGGGCTCAAACTTAAAATCCCCGTGAAGTAGATAGAATATGGGTTTGCGTACATTATAAATAAGATCCCCATATACCCCGTATTCTATCTACCTTAAAAGGGGACGGTTTTTGGGTGTCTCATGGCCCACCGGCTGCAGCGCTGATCTTTGCAATGGGACAGGCAGGGCTCAGGGGTAATTTGACCAGCAGCCTCCAAGTGCTGGTGCCCAGGTTGGGGTTATTCTTATTTACTAGTACTACTATTATCAATACTATTACTATTATTACTATACTTGGAGCGGCAGCCTAAAAGTCCTGGTCCCCGAATACTGCGCACCCTCCTCCCCAGGCCCTAAGATTCTGTAGTCTCATTCGGAATGTCATCCTCATTATACGAATCATCAAAACTAGTTTTGTCATAAACATTAGCAGCAACCATGGGGATTTCCCGAACTATCAGTACCATTTGGGGGGTGCCTATAATAGGGACTAAAGTATTTTAAGGTACATATTGCTGTCCCCCTATTTAGGGAAACTACCACCCATTATTAGCGGGTATTGCACATTTGGTGGGGAGATGAGGACCATGTGCAGGAGTGAACATGTGAGTGATACTTGCTTCCAGAAGAAGTGCAGTGCAGCAGCAGTAGTGTGGATGAACAACAGAGTCATGCGTAACAATGCTAGCAGCAGCTGTAGCATGCGACATCAAGGTCAACTTCTCAAAGGCCAGCATCTGTCCGTACAGCCCTGCATCCTTCGACCCAAAATCCTTAGACCCTAAGCCCGCCGGCCTGTTGCGGAGGTCAGCGCATGCGCGCCAGTATCAGCAGCCTGCGGATGTGAAGAACAGCAGGCCCATCAGGGTTCCAGGTTTGTTATGGCTGTGCCGATAGGTTTTGGTTGCTGTATCAATGTCTTGCCATAAACCCTGAACCCTTTCGCTTGAGGGGTAGCCGCCCCTGCTTCGCAGTTTTTTTTTTCTACTGCTGCTGTCAGGTTTGTTGTTACTTCAAGGCCAAGCCGAGCCAACATGCCGGCAGGCAATAGTAACAGTAAGTAGTATATAATAATATTAGCTTCAATTGTGAATAGAATAGTAAATCGCATCACTGCGGAGCACGCTGCATCGGACAGGTTGCTGTGCCCTAGAGCTGTCCTCGCAAGGTCTGAGACTACGCCCTGCGCCAGACATCAAAGTCCCCACTCCCAAACCTACAGCAGGACCCTCAACCTACACAACCTACCTCATTCTCAGGTGCTCAACCCATGGGATGATTGCATGTCTTTGCACTCGGTGGCGGCTCCAGAAGAGAGTCCCCGCCAGGCCAGGTTCTCGAAAATACCGGAAAGGCGACAGGGATCAGGATTATCTGTGTGAAGGTGGGCGCGTTTAGCTACCAAGTTTGGAGTATTTGTTGGGGTGGGAAATCTGGCTACGAATCCACAATCCTAAACATGCGGACCAGGAAGGACATTAAGCGTTGCCAGGAACTTCAATCCGACATCCTGATGTGCCAGAGCCGCCTGCATCATATTCCTAAATGCAGCTGAACGCTAAAACTCAGCAGCCCTGAATAAATGTCCTCTGTATAGAAGCTTGCCAACAGCTTGGCCTGAACCTGTTAAGGCACTGTGCTGTGCCGGACAGACAGGGACTTAAATCGAGTTTGCGGAATACAGATATGTAGTTTGTTGTCAGGGTTTCCTAATTATGGTAACCTTTTTATAAGTTCCGGAACAACACGGAACAGGAGAGCCTTGCGCCCACCATCCTCGAGCAGTTGCCCATGCTCGAGCAGTTGCGCAAGGCTCGCCTGTTCAATACCTGTGCCTAAGCGTAGGTATATGGACATTATTTAACCAGATTGTCGTACCTCAACATTTCATAATCCGGTAATAGTGTCACCTCCTGGAGGCGGTGAGTAGGTGGATGCGGGCTAGAAGAGACCGCGCGAACCAGTTGCAGTTTTCTGCAGCTTTGCAGGATACGGTTGCTCAGGCCAGTGCCGAGTGGGGCTTCAGCTTTGGGCCACATTCCCAGGTGCAGACACCGCCCAGGACATCGGCCTTTGATCGGTTGCAGCCTGCCCTGTGCCGGCAGAAAGCATTTCATGATACGCTCGGACCAACGATGCTGGGCCAGGGCATGGTGCCGACGAAGGCATTGTCAGCCCTCGCCCCGGTGCCCTGGCGGGCTGGGATGGGCGCCTGGTGTGAGCCAGGCTGAGATAACGTCCTTCCTTTTTTAACTTGAGGGCATCAGGCGAAGGGAGGTGGCGGCGAGGGGGCCTGCGCGGGCGTGGATTTGCACCGTGACTGACAGTTCTTGACTGTCATGGACGTAAGGTCCCGTAACGGTCTGGTGCTCTTGCACTGGCCGGGGGACCGGGAGCATCCAAGGAGTGGCATTGTTTTATTTCCGTGGCGCTCATCCCCTCTGCTACATTTTCCTGGCGGTTATCCCAGAGACAGGAAGGTGCTCCTCCACTTCCAAGTATTGTAGGATACATAATGATACATAAGCTGCTTTTTGCATACGGGTATTCTGCGTCATAGTAGATTAGTCGTGAAATACTGTTCTACTATCCGCGGCTTATGTGTTGCTGTGAAGCTGGGTTTGATTTTCATTCGGCATTTCTACTTTTGCCAGTGAGCTTCCGGAATTTGATTAGAGAACAACATTTATGAGAGTCCATAATATGCAGGAATACAACATATGTTTTGTTTTCGCAATGCAAGGATCCCGTCGTAATAGTATCAAGACAGCTGGCATATCACAACTCCATGTTAGCATGATAGCCCTGAAGCATTAGCCTTTGGGACTTTTGCGATTCTTCATCATACGAGAGGCGCATACAGCTTGACCCTGGTGTCCCCTTCTAGTGGTGCACACCCAAGACCCTAAACCCTAAACCCTAAACCCTACACCCTAAACCCTAAACCCTAAACCCTAAACCCTAAACCGCAATCGCATGGGGAAATGTTCCAAGGCTGATTGAAGCTGTGGGAACTGGAGAACTTAATTGGATCTCTCGGCCAGTAGGCTAGTTTCCTGCCTTGCCTTCGGTTCTGCCTGCATTTTGCCCTGCCACTTGCCAGGTTCAAGTTAATAACGCAGGACCCTACAACTCAAGACCCAACATGCGTCGGAGGATAACTGGGGCGCGCAGTTCCTCCCGCGTTAATGCGCTCGTGGCTGCTACAAACACCACCACTGTCATTACGGCTTGTGCCGCAATTGCCGCCGCTTCCCTGCTTCACCACCACTGCTGCTGCTGCTGCTGCTGCTGCTGCTGAAGAGAACACTGTCAGGTGGCACCCTGTTTAATGATAGGGAGCCCCCCCGAACAATTGACGTTTCTCTTTAATGGCGGCCGCCCCCCAAAATTTGCCGTGCAATTAAAATCGATAAAAACCTGGAATCTCGGTAGCAGCCTTGAAGCTGGTATTAATTTCGTGTTAGTGCTTGTGCCGGCATTACCATGAGCATCAAAATCGATTCAAAACCCTATTAATCCAATTGGAAAGCTATCCATAACTAATAGAAATCTAGTTCGGTGCAATTAAAATCGAATTAGAAACCCAATTTAAATTGATGAATGCTTAATTCAAATCAACTGGAAGCTAATTGCAACTTAATTAATGCCTAATCAAGGTCAATAAGAAACCTAACCACTGGAAATAAATTGAAAATCTAATGAAAACCATTTTCAAATCTAATCATACCCTATTCAAAATCAAATGAGACCCGATTCGAACCAAATCTAATTCAAACCAATTGAAGTCTTATTACGATTTAATGAAACTTTAATCAAATTCAATTGGAAATCTGTTTAAAATCACTTTAGATTCAAGTTAAACCAACTAATTGAATTGAGATTTCACAGATTCATAGCGCTGCTAAAAGCTCTGGAACTTAGGTATAAATCCCTTAGATTGATTTTTGGTGTTTAGTGAGAAAAGCTACACAAGCAACTGAGAGAGTGGCTGAGAGAGAGTGAGAAAGGTTCAAGATTTAGAGTTTAAGATTAATTTAGTCTTGCGATTCAGAGGCAAATTCTTTAAAACACCTCCAAAATTAGGACGGCTGGCGGAATTTTCTTAATATTCCGAACCCCTAAACAATTTCCTTATTGAGGATCTGGGCCTCTGCTGGACTACCTGACGGACCCTATGATTTCTAATGAACCCGAGAAAGGGCTTTATGTGGAGGGTTTTTCCCGGAGTTTACTAACGGATTTCACGGCTTCTATGGATTTCACGGATTCATAGGTTTGCTAGAATCTGGCTTTCACGGGCTAATAGATTTGCTAGTATCTGGCTATTTAGCTAGAATCTCTGGCCCTTTTAAAATCAAACAAATCCTTTCAAAAAACACCCAAAATTAGGACGGCTGGCGGAGTTTTCTTAATATTCCGAACCCTAGACAATTTCCTTGTTGAGGATTTGGGACTCTGCTGGACTACCTGACGGACCCTATGATTTCTAATGAACCCGAGAAAGGGCTTTATGTGGAGGGTCGAAATTGAAGGACCCTATGATTTCTAATAGTCCCGAAAGAGGAGTTTATATGGAGCTGCCTTCTCTGAGTTTACGGATTTCACGGGCTTGACGGAATTCACGGATTCATGGCTATGCTAGTATCTGGTTTTCGCGAACTCATAGCTTTGCTAGTATCTGGCTTGATAGCTGAAAGTTCTGGGCCTTTCCTGCAAGCTGTTTCTGCACTGCTTTTCTTAGCTACAGTAAGACAAATATTATTAAATCTAGGATTCAGAATCGGCTATTTTTTTAATTCCGGTCCCCAGAACTTTTCATTATTCCGAACCCCTCAAACAATAGCTGATTCTGAATAATTTTCCCGAAGCTTTTTATTAATCCGAACATCTCCATTAAACAGGGGGCGACATTAACTTCAATGTTCTGCTTCTCTTAAGACTTCGATCGAGATAGCCGCCAGGATGTAGAGTATGTGAGGGTTTCAGGGGAATTATGGGGGGTGTGCATAGGGGTGGTACTTGTCAGGGATTCTATAGGGATTCTGTTGAGAAACTTCCATACCCAGGGGTTATGAAAGCTGTGCAACGGACTCTTTGTTCAAGCAATGCATTAAGCAGAATGTGAGGTGTCGAAGATCTACCATCAAAACAGAGCGGCATGATGTTTCATACTTGGCTCCGAAAAGTGTTTAGGAGGCTGGAGTCCTGGTTAGGAATTAGGGTTCGGCACGGCTTAGTGCTTACCAGCTCGGGTAAATCATTTAGGAGGTTGTGGTCTTGGATTTGAGTTTGAAGTCGGATTGAGTTTCAAAGTTGACCGGGACTGGGCGAACGCAAATTGAAATTTGGGGCTCAGATTTGTGGTGTTAGACTTAAGTTCTTTCATGGGAAGTGCTAAGGCTGCGCTTGTGATAATCGGATGATACGACTACGGTCTAGGGCTGCGTCGATGTGAATCCTCTCGTGAAGCCTCCCAACTCCGAAGTGCAGGAACACCGTGACGCAAAGTTCGAAAGCAAGAAGTCAAGAACAGCAGAGGCTGTTTGCGCCTGAATCCAAGACTCTAGTTGCATTGCTGCATCGCATCTGTCCGAGGCAGAGGTGGAACAACGGTTATTTGCAAAGCGTTGCTGTTGCTGGAGAAGTCTTAAGTGATGCTCTCTGCAGGCTGCCAGCTCAGCAGCAGCAGCAGGCCTGACCATGAAGCAAAGACGCTGTCCAACATGATAGTTTCCTTAAATAGGGAAGACCCAAGTTTGGACCTCAAAATACTACATCCCTCATTATGGCTGCAAATGGGCACACCTAAATTTGGGAAATCTCCAAACTTCATCCAGTCGCTGAGCGCTTCGAAAGTTTTGGGGAAGGGAGCTCTGTTAGTCGGTGCTTGGGGGATTCTTGCTAGCAGAAATTCAGCAGATGCTGAATCTCACGTATATGATGAAGTGCCAGGGTCGATTGGGCCTTCCGAGAAGGAGGAAAAGGGCAGCACAGAGGAGAAGGCCGGGCCGTAAACCCTAAAGCCAACCCTAAACCCTAAACCCTAAACCCTAAAACCCTAAACCCTAAACCCCTAAACCCTAAACTTCCTAAACTTCCTAAACTTCCTAAACCCTGAACGGACGCGCTCCGGAACACTTAGCACTCCCAAGCCTTGTGCCTGTGCGAACGAGACAAAGGATGCCAAAGATTAACCTAGAAAGTAGAACCTCTAATCTGGGTTGCTGTTAAGGAACTTAAATTAAGTTACTATATTGGGGAAACCCTATTATTTACTATATACCCATTATGTTAACTTAATTTTAAGTTCCTTAACAGCAACCCAGTAATATGATACCCTATACTACTATTGGGGATTTCTAGAAACCGCTTTAGGGGCATCTACTTTCTAGATCTTCCCAGCGGTTTGGGTTTGCTGCTCAGCCTTGCTTATGTTAGGGTATGAAGCTGAGTGTCCTTTAGGACCTCCGGAAATGGCGCGAAACTTTGATTCGACCTGTTCGATTTTCATAAGTTGGATTTCTCAGGGACCTGCAGGGATCCACGTCTGTTTCCTGCCATGTGGGGCCTGGAGTCCTGCTGAATGCCTTGTGCTGGCAGCATAGGCTGAACATGTTTGCAAAATCATAGCCAGTCAATGGACTGCGCGTGAGAAGCTTGTTTCAGGGACATGCTTTGAACCTCTAGCCAGCCTAAACCTGCAACCCGCTCATGTTTTGGGGGGGCGGGGTTCCATGTTGCTGCTGGGAGGGGTAATTAGCCTCTAGCAGGAAACATTTTTCAAATTATGGTTTATGGGTAGAGGGTTTAGGGTTTATGGGAGGTGGGTCCAAGCTCCTTAACGCAAACCGAGGTTCACAAGAGTCAGGCCACGCTGAAAAGGTTCTGAAGGGGGTGGAAACTCACCAAACATCATGGTGTCTCCTTCGGAGATGCGGATTCCACAGGTGTATGTTGGATTTAGGGCTTGAGTATGGGGGTTCAGGGGCACGGAGAAGAAAATAGAAAACCACCCAGAAACTGGCAGAGTAATTTTGGGGTTTATAGGTTTGACATGCAAAATCTGCATGATCCTAAGTACCTTGCAGCGTCAGACTTATGCTATCGCAGTAGATGAAGGTCATGAAGGGTGTCAACAGTAATGCTAGGGGCTCATGAGTTGAGGATGATGGGAACAGTTTGGTGATGGTTTGGTTTGCGCTCCGGTTGCAAGGTGCTTTTGCACAGAGCCTCAAATCCCGAGCCTTACATCCAGAACTCTAGGCTGTTTTGCTATGATTATGAGAGCTAGCCAAGAAAACGATGAGCTAAAGACCGTGCATTCCAAATCCTGACTCCTAAATCCATTATCCTGAGATCTAAGCCCTGCATGACTCAAAAACGATCTGACTAGTGGAAGGTTTGAGCTCACAACAGCAGGGTTGCCTGGATTTCTCACAATCATAAACCTGCATGGAGATTGTTTTTTGAATTCCCTTTGTCTTGGAAGCCCCGTGCTGAAGACAATCCCTGATTTCACGAGCACATGCAGAGACCACCTTGACTTACACAGCGCAGATCAATGCTTCGGCGCTAAACACTGGTGGTCTGGCAGGCGCTCGCAGATGCATACAACCAGAACATCACGGCCACAAGCATTGACGTTGAGGAAGTTGAGGTGCGCTCTGTTCCTCAGCCGCATGCTGGCATCCGTGGATGGTATATGTCATATAATTATAGTATGTTATAGTCTATTTTATATTATAGTATATCATGCTGGCATCCATGGGCTCTTGTGTCTTGTGAAGCGATGGTCCGGATTTGCTTTTTGCCCATGTGCTTGCTTGGTGTTTTCAATGTCAGGCTGCGGCAGGCTTGGTGGCAGGCCACTCGAAGGCGGGATTAGAAAACCAACGGCAGTCTATCCTTGGTGTTTGATGCTACGCTCTGTGGAGGCCACTGGCTCTGCCGCAGCAGGCCTTGTGTTGTCGAAGTCGTTTAGCTTTCTGAGCCTTTCAAGGGTGCCCAGGTCTTGTCATTTTGGAAGTCTTCCCGCCCCGATGGGTGAGCAGATGGCAGCCAGGTACGACTGGATCGCCGGAAGCCGCTCAGGGAGAAGGCAGCGCAGCTGAGAAGGCCGGGCATGCGCCAACTTGATCGTTACGCTGCACCCAGTACCCCTATAAGCTCTGGGACTACTGCCTTGAGCCTTGCTGGTGGGTGTGAAGCTGGCCAAATGACAAGAAATGTGATGCTGCTGACTTCATGGTCCAATGAATGGTGGAGGGTTGGCCACGTTGGTCAGCCTGATCTCAAATGCGTTCGTTGAGTTTGTACAGTGCTATTGAGCAAGACCTTGCAGATTGCTTTGTGCCAACGTGTGCTGCTGTCCGTCTTACCTCTCGTTAGCAAGGAATGAAGGAATTCATCCTTAAAGCAGGCTTCACATGATCCCAAATGGCAGAGTATAGAACAGTCGTTTCCATTTTCTTGTCCAGTATTTCATTCCCTGAGAACCAGACATAAGTTGAAGATCTGCATAGCGCCCGGCTTTCGGCTTCAAGTGACGCTGAGCGCACCGGATTCCGGGCAAGTCTGGAACGAACGAGGTTACAGACACGAGACTTGACCTTCTAATTCTAAGCCAGAAACCCTATAAACCCGAAAGCTTAACGGGTCGGCAGGTCTACGACCTAGAAGATCGCGCCGCCCTGGGCCAGTTCATCCTGGACCAATTTGAGTGCCGAAGTATAAGGGCCCAGATAATTACCACTTGCCCAGCAGCAGTGGGAGCTGATTTGGAGAACCCCAATTGAGGATTTTCTTGGATCATGTAAGGGTGCTTCTGCATCATGTCGGGATGTATGGGGGTTACAAAGGTCTAGGGATGTCTAGGGGTTGATCCATGTAGACATACCCCAGTGCAGTTCCTGATGATGGTATGATTGCAAGCCGAGGTTTTTTCTTGCGAATGCTGCCTGTGTATGCTCCTCATGCAGGGGCTAAGGATCAGGGTCTGTCCATGGAGCGTGCAAGTCCTGCAGAACTCTCTCCACCCCTCGAGCAAGAGACCGCCCTAACATGTCGCTAGCCCTCCCCCATACCTGATGAACCTCTCAAGCCCTAGGCCTTCATCCGTAGACCTTAAAGTTTCCTTAAAGTTTCCTGATTCCGGCGCTTGACTCCAGGATGCGAACATCGGCCTGGTCCGCGCAGAGCCGCCTGGACAGAGAGCTGAAGAGGGGGTGCGAAGAGTTTTTGGGGTTGGAGTGAAAATGTTCCCTTCTCTTCATGAGCATTTTGGCTGGGCCCTTCTGCACGCAGCAGGTCGTCGGATCCCATGGTGTCCAGCATTTTAAGGAGGCCATGTCACAGACGGTGTCAGGTTTGGAGTGAAGATGGGAAGGATGCAGCGTGGCCGGCTGTGTGTTGCATGGCGGTGTCTCGAAGACTTATCAGACCCGACTCGGGCTGTTGCACGCTTGGCCACACCAATCATCAGTCTGCACATGAATGTTTAACAGTCTTCATTCAGATGTAGTAATACATGAGCATGACCAGATACAAAGAGATATGTAAAATGTAAAATGTCTACACACTCGGACAGTAATATTGACGTGTCGCCTCGGTGGGGGGGAGGGGCGGGGAGACCTATTTGAATTTGGAATACGAGGGCGGGGTCTTGGTGGAGTCCTTCAGTTGGCATGTTGCACATACCTGTTGGTGTACAGCAAAGTCCTCAGCAAAATCAAAGGCAAGGAAGGATGTCATGGACAGTCTCTTGAACTACGATCTTTGACATTTGTTACTTTCAATTCCTGTTGCACTAAGGTATTTCTACAAGCTGCGGAAGGCGAAGACCGCCTTTCCGCGGCGGCAGGAAGCCGAGGGTGAGACTTGCACGCTCTCCAATGGCAGCGAGGTGTCTGCAATTGTTTCAAGAGAAGAGATCAAGGAATGGGCCGCAGGTGCCAAGAAGGCTATCATTTGTTCCGTGTCTCACAGCTGGGAAACTCGGGAACATCCCGACCCCTGCCGGTTCCAGTTGGAACAGATTGTGAATTATGTGTCCTTGTTTGATGCCGCTTACTTCGATGATATTTGGCTGTTCTACGATTACGTGTCTCTGTTCCAGTTCCAACGAACCCCAGAGGAGGATGTCCATTTCCAAGCCGCCATGGGCAACATACACATGTTCTATGCCCATAATTTGACGCGGACGTTCCGAATCGAAAGTCTCACCCCGGAGCGTGTTTGGCGGGCCATGCTGGAAAACCCGGCAGAGCAAGTGCGTGTTTATTTTGAGGAAGCCAAAGCCGTCACTCCGCGCCCTTTGAAGGATCTGGTTGAGAATCGGGTCCCGTATAGTGACCGAGGTTGGTGCAAGGCGGAGGTGGAGTGGTCCTCAACGCGAGATTTCACGGCCAAGAGTCAGCGCATTGATGCTGCAGAAGGGAAGAAGAAGGGCTCTGGCCTGAAAGGCCGAGTTCCGACTACTCCCGAGCTGTTTAAAGCACAGATGGCCTCTGCCAAGTTTACGCACCGCGCGGATGCGGGAAGTGTACAGTTTTTGCAAGCCAAAATCTACCACCAAAAAGTTTCGGTTTGTCAGGAGGCAGTGCTTGAGCACTTGCCTGCAGCAGAAGTTACCAAGCTGGCAGCTGCGCTCCCGCATTACCAGCAGCTCCGAACCCTTCGAGTACGGAACTTCGAATGTGGCCCGCACGAAGCCAAAGCACTTGGTGAGGCCGGGCTGTGTCTGAACTGCAAGGACTGGCTCTGGATCCTTTCATGTACTAAGTAGACTGAGTTTGATAGATCTGATAGATCTTTCAAGTAGACGGAGCCATCAGGCAGTTGCATACGATGTTTCGTCATCCATCCTCATTAATTCCGAGCTCCTCGAAACTTTGTGCAGCACATGGTTCGTAGTGTTGAGCCACACCTGGCAAGACTTCCGTGCATGCCCAGACATACATATCATCCACCGAGCATGCATGCTGCCAGGGTGTGCAGTCAGCTTATCGTGAGCTTGTCGCAGGCCATCGGCTGCCATCCGACCCTCCAAGAGCTGGAGGTGCGGGCTGATGTGCGTGCAGACAGAACGGCTCCATGGCAAGCATTGGTTGTTTGGACGTTCCGACTTACTTTGATTACCTCCATGTCGCCCTGGTGCCCTAGGCCCTGGTGATCCTGGTGGAGGCTCGTTTGGCAGGGGAAAAATATTGGCACTGAGAGTGCCAAGGCCGTTGCCGCCTTGTTGCGCTTCTGTGCCAGGCCCTTGCAGAAGCTTTGAAAACCAAAGCGATCACCAGTCTCGACTTGCGCCACAACAAAATCGGTGATGAGGGTGGGAAGGCTCGTGTTGGTGTTGGGGGAGCCTGGTGGACTTTCTGCCTCCTTGTTGCCTTTGCCTGGCAGGCTCTTGCTGAAGCTCTCAAGCACAACAGCACGATGACCACCCTCAACTTGGCGGGCAACAAAATCGGTGCTGAGGGTGGGAAGGCCCGGTTGGGTGTTTTGCGAGTCTGGTGGACCTTCTGCCTCCTTGTTGCCTTTGCGTGGCAGGCTCTTGCTGAAGCTCTCAAGCACAACAGCACGATGACCACCCTCAACTTGGAGTGCAACAGAATCGGTGCTGAGGGTGGGAAGGCCCGTGCGGGTGCTTTGCGAGCCTGGCGAACTTTTTGCCTCCTTGTTGCCGTTGCGTGGCAGGCTCTTGCTGAAGCTCTGAAGCACAACAGCACGATGACCACCCTCAACCTTACCGCAAACAAAATCGGCGCTGAGGGTGGGAAGGCCCGTGTGGGTGCTTGGGAAGGCTGGTGAACTTTTTAGCCTCCCCTTGTTGCCTTTGTGTGCTAGGCTTTTGCCGATGCTCTCCAGAATAACAGCACCTTAACCAGCTCCACGTTGGACGGGAACGAAATCAGGGCTGAAGACTTGGAGGCACGTTTTGGCGAGTTTTTGTGGACTTCCCTGCGTCCTGCCCTGGTGTGCCAGGCCGTGGCAGAGGCTCTCAAGCAGCGCTTCACGCAGGCCGAGGCCTGCTTGAGTTGGGCCTGTGGAGAACGGTGGAATGGCGTTGCGCCTGAAAGCTGCCGTAAGCAGACTTGTTGTCAAGTCCACCTGCACAGCTTTTGGGCCAACCCAGGGCCCATCCGCTTGCAGGTGAACTCTTATCGCGATACGTGAGTTTAGGGCTGGCTGCTTTCCTGCTGTGCCGTTTTGCTTCAAGTGGTCGGCGGTGAAGACCTTTGCAACCAGAACCCCTCCTCTAAAGGCGGCCAAGATCTCCGGAAGCGATGGTGCAAACTGTTGCAGCCGTGACTATCTTAAGAGTTTAACTCGCAGAAAACATTGCACCTGGACAGCCTCCGGAGAAGCAGTGCGAAGATGCGTACAAAGCACAAGCGAACATGCCAAGACTTCCCACTCCCAACAGGCAAGATCATCTCTCTCTCGCACTGTCTCTGTCTCTCTCTCGCTCTCTCTCTCTCTCTCTCTCTCTCTCTTCCCCTCCCCCTATCTCATGTCATGCTCGGACTGGCGTGAGAAGCTTCTTTTTGGGCAGGCTCAGGGTCAGCGAAGGTAGCTGCTACGGTTTCGTCATGTGGTCTGACAAGGAATGTCCTGAACCTGGCGCTGCCCGAAAGTTCTGGTCCTCCGCTGTGGCGTCCTCGCTGCTTGCCAAGCTTGTGCCCAGGTTATAGCTTTGGCTTCTGCCCTAACCCTCAAATTACGGAAAGCCCACATCCGAGCTGCATGGGCCTTGTGTAAAGCCGTCCTGACCAATGACCCTGCCCCGCTAGCACTAGACCTATAGTCTACTCGCAAGTCTGAAGCGTCTGGTTTGTGTCCCTTTCATCAAGATTTGGTGAATCTTCGGAGACTCGTGAGACCTGAGTCGGGGCTGGGGACGATTGATTTGCAAGGGCTCTTCATGCAAACAGGGACGTCGTGGTAATCTGAAGACACCACCTCAAAGCCTCACACCCAGAAAGCCTGCTACGACCCAAGCCTATCCATCCGAAGAGGTAGGACCTTGGCAGCCTCACTAACAGCCAAAGCCATGGCATCGGTTTCGGCTTCGCAAACCGACCAGGCCGTCACAGTCTGCTTTGTGGACCACCGCCGCAGGGCACAACCATTGATGGTAATGACTCCGCCACTTCTCGACCGACTACCATCTGGGCTAAAGCTTGCGTCCGACCATACCTGAAGTGGACTGTCGCCGATGCTCCCTCTGAATCGAAGTCCAATGTTCAGCGTCGCCCTCAAATATCGCCAACAACCTTGTGCAACCTTCAGGATCCTTGAGGGACACTTATGAAGATGCGAGGCAGCAATACTCACAGCGGCTAAAATGTCAGGCCTGGTCTTGGTGCTGATCCAGAGCAAGCATCCTAGCTCAGTTTGTGCTGCCTTCAGGTTGTCCTTGTGTTCAGGACCATCCGGAAAACCCTGGACATTCAGCTCAATCTGCGGCAAACTTGGGTTCTGCACAAATGGACCCATCCTCGCTTGTGAAGCTCACTAAGAATCCACCTGCGCTGATGGAGCACCACCTGCTGTCCTTCATCAAAACCGATCTGCAAGCCAATAAAAGTCAGTTCCTGAACGCGAGGCATTGTAAAGGATCCATCATGTGTAAGGGCTTCCTCAGGGCCACGTGTAATGAAACCAGAAAACTTTGTTGTAGTCCAAGTGCGTTGAATGAACTCCATGACAGCTGCAACAACCGGTCCTTCGCCCACCGCCAAAATGTCATCGTACACAGCTACAATCCCATGTTTGGTTTGGCTTGCGCTCTTCTTCAGGTACAAGCTTAACTTCGAACTTGCCAGTGCTTGCCTCCAGGGTTTTCCCGTTAAGAGTATTGTCCCGTAGCTGGCCCCATGCTTTGGGGCTGCGTCGTAGCCCATAACTGTGCGTGCGTGCTCGCCAGGCTGTTCCAGGAGGTACCTCTTCAACGCCGTGAGTGGCTCCGCAAGAATAAGCTCAGACGAAGGCATGTCAGAATTCAAGAAAGCAAGAGAAACGTCGCCGCTTGCTGCCACCCACGAGGAGTGGCAGCTCAGTTGCAAACCCACTATTCGTACGGTTCCTTAAGCACACAAAGGTACTTTAGCGCGCCACGGAGGCTCTGAGACAGCCTTTGCTTTCGGGTCCTCCTTGCCGCCATTCTCGTCTGGCTTCCGGGAAGTAACCAGCTTGGTTGGCGATATCTTTGGGATTGAATCGCCTCTTTGGGATTGAATCGCCTGGACCTAAACCCGCGGCCTCTTTCAAGTTCTTCCTATTGAGCTGCTCCAGAACTTGTTTGTCCTGCATGCCATTCATCTCGTCCTGGGTGGCGTTCAACCACTTTGTCCGCTGTTCCTCTGACCCTTCAAAGAACACCTTACAGTCTATAATGTCTCTGCAGCAGCTTTCATGGTAGCCACTTCATTCATCAGCCTGGCAGCCTCATCTGCCTCTGTCTCAGCATCCGCAGTGTCCAGTTGATATCCATTCGGCTCGGGCGGCGTTGCCTTAACCTTAGCCGCATAGCACTCAACCACAGACCGATTACAAACCCAACAACGCTTGCCTTGCATCCACTCTGTTGGCATTTCCTTGCCTGGTTGTGGATCTTCTTGAATCGTTATGTCTGCCTTAGCTGCAACTGCGGCGGCTGGTTCCGGTGTCATCAACACTCCATGGCCAAACAGATTGAAGATCTCCTTAGTCGAATCCGGAGTCCGGGTCTTGTCCAAAAGTTGCTGCAACTTCCAAACTACTTCTTCAGGATTGGGAAAATCTGCCCCCTGCCACTGCTCCAGAGTCAAGATCTGATCATGTGATGGCGCGTCCCATGAAGCCTGACCTGAGTCCGAAACCCACATGAGATCTGTAGAATCTGGCTTTGTCACAATCCCCCAGCGCGGCCTGACCCTGTTTAACAGAATAGGAAGTCGTGCAAACCTCACAAACAGACCGCCGCCCCTTTGAACAAGAATCTCTGTTCCGTTCGATACTGCATCGCTCAATCCAAGGAAAACTCCTATCTCAGTCCGGTCTTCAAAATCTGGAAGAACATCAGCAGGTTTACGCGCCAGTACGTAGTCTCCAGGAATGGGCAAGTCTTTGGGGATCGGTATGATCAAAGCTCGCATGCATTTCAATTTTGCTGCGTGGCTCATCACTTCATCCCAAAATCTGATGTCCCGTTGTCCACTCAAGAGAAACAGCCCAGTGGAACTCTTCAAGGTATCAATCAATTGCTCAACCCTACCATTACTTTGATGAGAATAGGAGACCGCAAAAGTACGAAAGTGATTGAAAACCTTGAGTCGTTCCCGGTCAATTTTCGCAACGAACTTCTTGCCTTGATCAGAATGGATGCGAAAAGTGACTTTATCTCCGCCAGCAAACGATCCCAACTGAGTCAGGACATCGCACAGTGCATCTGTAACCGTCTTGGCCTCCTTGTTCGGAACACCCCTGACAAAAGGAAGATCGAAACCATCTGCCGAATGCGCGCACACAACTAAGGCATACTTGTCTCCTGCGTGAGACTGTTTGTGGGGTCCGCTGAGATCTAGATGTCGTCGCTGTGGATCTTCCTGTGAGGTCTTCTATGGCCTCGGGCCCTCAGGTCTGGCTCTGACGTCTTGTCGTACGTTCCTTCACGACATCGCTGCCAAAGATCCTTTACGGCGCGATCCTCAGGACATGCTTCACTCAGCAGACTCAAGTCCCACGGCTTAGGCACGGTCGCGTCACTACTCTCTGGGAGACTGGGAACCCCACCCTCAACCTTCAGCCCCGAGTCCTTTTCACTATCTCCAAACACTGGGGACAGCGCGGGATCACCAACACCAACCTCAACATGCTTTGCATAAGCGGTGTGGCGAGATGTGAGAATGTTGGGGTGGTGGCGTGCGTCATTGCTTGTATGTGATGTTGGCTGTGGCTGATGCTGCTGCTCTTGTTTTGGGTTGAACTGATCACTCAGATGATTCAAGGTCCGCTTCTCCTCGATGGTCAGCAAACCGCTGTCCAAGGTGGAATCTGCAAGCAGGGCCCGGCAAGCAACAAACTGCTGAACCTCCAACTCTCTCCTCCTGAGTCTGCGCTGCCGGACTGCAAACCTCCTCACCGCTGTGTGTCTCCTGATTGATGGTGGCGTTCACGGTCGATACCTGAGGGATACGAAATCCAAAGGTTGACAGTGTCTTCAGGTCTGTGGTGGTAAGCTGCTGCCAACTTTTCGGGACGTAGCTCACTGCGATGACCCCGTCTCCCAAGACAGGCTCCGTGCCGTGCCAACCCGTTCCCTGAAAAACAACCGATCGGCCACCGTCCAGGTGATGGAGTTGTCCAGGAATGGGATCGCGGTCTGGACATACCTCCAATGTGTGCCTCCTGCTGCTTCTGTCCAAAGCTGGCCGCCATAGAATTTGCTGAGGCCACTGACGGTCGTTCTGTAGCCAGCGCAATTTCTATCTTGGTGCGGTGCAAAAACCAGGTTATCTGCGACAACAGTGGAAGTAAAAGGTTCCATGGTTTTAGATGACATGTGCCTGGCAAGTGCCCGAGCAAGCCATGGCCTCTGCTTTGTCAAGGTTGTCAAGCCAGTACGGGGGCCAGGTACATAAGCACCGAACACCCACGCCTTCGCCCGCTGGTCGGCGCCTTGGACCTTGCTTCCTCCGCATTGCCGTCGGCTTGAGTCCCCCGCCCCGGATTAAGCCCAGCAATTCCCCATGGGTAATGGGAGTCTCCGCCTGAAGCCGCTCCTTCGCAGCCTGCTCCGCGAAGTCCGAGACAGTGTCACTGTCCAAGACTGTTTTCACGCCCTGGGGCTCAGCGAATTCAGGCCGCCATGACATCACCTCTGGTTGTACTACGGCAGTCGCTCGGAATGCTGTGGCGTCGCGCTGATCTGCCTTGTACTGCTTTGACAACGCAACCCTAAGCAACTTAAAGTCGTCCCATTGAAGGTGCGGCAAACCATTGTTGATAATGCACTCACGCCTGATCTGCTCAGTTTGGAAGGGATGCGGATAAGAAATGTAGGCTCCAGTCTCATCCCAGATGAACTTTCCACCAAGATCTATCACTCACTTGATACCCACAATCCAGTTACTCTGCTCCAAGTGGGATGAGTCTTTGGCAAACACACTTCGCCATGTCTGTTGCGATATGCTTGCACAGAATCACCTGATGCCAAAGTCACGCTCAAAGGTGTAGAGGACTTGAGTTGACCTTTGGATCCACCATTGACGGATCGAGGAACCTCGTAGTCGCCTGAGTCCGCGAGGACCAGCTCATCAGATAAAGAATCTCCGATCCGAGCCATTGACGAGATGCTCCCTCCAGACCGCGTTTCGTACGATGCACAAACTGACGGAACCTTCGACGCACTCTCGGCGAGTCTCAGAGATTGAGTCGCCGTCTCGCCAACTGGCGTACAGGCTGAAGGCTGCGACCTCCGTGCTGCTTTCCGACCCTGGGCTCTGTCCATCCTCTCCCCTATCTGAGAGCGCTGCATTGTCGCTAGCTGCTGGGGCCTTGCTGCTGCTTGCTGCTGCAGGATGTCTCTCGGGCTGATCATTCCATGGTCCATCAACAAATGGTCGAAGACGTCGTGGGGGTGGCTGTTCTGAACCTGAATCTTCGTGATCTGAAACAGTACCCAGCAAGGCATTGACTTCTTCAAATGATAACCCAAGTTCGTCCTCTGCCTGCCTGGCCGATGAGGGGAATCAAAGGAGGCTCTGCAAGCTGCAACTTGATATAAATGCACCACGTCACTGGTGTGTTCAATGATTCAAGTGTCAGGAGAAGGTCCTGAGGAGTCAAGCCAGGAATTCTTCTTCTCCCTATGAAGTCGAAAATGCACTATTGCTGGCCATCGGTGTTAACCCAGGTGATGGGGTGCGGAATGGATCTCTGGATGACATAGGCCGACCAGGCCCCCCAAATGACCGCGTGCTCACGCTTGGTTGGATCTGCGACCTCCCACTGCAAGAGCTGGAGGAGGGCCGGAATCGTAGAGGAAGATTGCTCTGCGAAGGACCTCTGACTCCCACCGACTGAGCCTCATCACCCAGAGGTAGTTATTCCCGAAAAGTCTCGGGTCTTTTACCGGCCTCGGCTGTCTAGGACGTCCAACACGTGCCGCGTATGCAATCACCCAAGAGCCCTTTGCCTCGGCGCCTGCTCCCACCAGTGCAGCTGCCTTTGGAGTTGGAGTTGGTATTGATTTCGCCTTGGCCTCAGCTTTGGCCTTGGCCTTTGCTTCCTTGGCTGCTGCTTTCTTCGCTTTCTTCTTTTCCTCTGCCTCTGCTTTGGCCTTTGCTGCGGTCTTGGCCTTAGCCTCCTCTGCTGCTGCAGGTTGGCTGCCGCTGCCCTGTGATTGTTTTCCCTTTTTTCCTTTGCCTTTGGCATCGGACTTCACATGTAAAAACTCACAGTCACTGCCCTTCAAACATCCACGTTCCGTATTGAAATAGCTGCAGATTCTTGTGCCCTTACCATCCTTGCCTCTGCCCTTGTTGGCCATGACTTCGTACTCGCCGTCACCCCCAGTGCCTTTGCTGCTTGAAGGTTTGGACTATTCCTCTGCGGCCAAACGTCTGGATTCCTGCTCGATCAAAGTGATCATCAAAGAAACGCCCTCATCCGATGGATTAAGGATCTCCGGTTGCAACCTTGTCAAATTAAGTCTGGTTCACAGCGTAGGCTCCTTGCGCTCCAAAGTCTTGACAAGGTTGTTTAAGGTTGTGATCATCTCACGCGCGGGAAGAGAAGGCAACTTCACTGTAGCAGTTCTTCGAATGGCAAGCCTCAAACGTCTCATAGTCGATACACATTCGCTGAAAAACCCCGCGACAGGTAGATTACGCACAAAACGTGTCAGTGGTGCACGCTCCTCTACTCCTCCCGGCTGGAATCTTTACAACACTGCGATCAACATCTGGAACGATGATACGGCTTGTCCAAGTGCGGCCTCTACAACATCTTTCTTTATGTCAGGGTCTACGCTGCCAAGAAGTGCCATTGAAAAACGGGATTCGTACTCAGCACAGTTTGCAGGGACCTCCAGAGTCTCCAGGTTCGAGAAACCCTCCTCAAGTCTGTTGTTGTACCTCTGTGCTGCCTTGATCAGAGCCTGCACGTAGGCGCCGAATTTCGCATGAACACACGCTGCAATCTGAGCCATTTCGGTCAGATGCTGGCCCAGCTGCAGGCCGCGCTCCCATGCCTGACCTACAGGCTTCTCAATCTTCGGAAACTGTTTGATCAACTTCCACTGACAATGTGTGCTTGAGCTGCTACTTCCAGACTTGGAAACCTCAGGTGGCAATGTTGGTGGTGGCTTGTGTTTCCATGTCTCGAAGTTGCCAGGTGCTTCTAGCCCAGGAGGATCTTCCCGCCGTCCAAGATCTTGATATTCGTTGGCTTGTCCACCACCATCACCCTCTGGTTTTCCTATCTCGGCGGTGTTGATAGCAAAAGTGTCCGGTTTCATGTTCGATGGCCGGGGCGACGTAATCCCCTCGGCCTCAAAGCGTACTGCTTTCTGTGGCTTGCCCTTGGCTTTGGCTGCTTCATGTGCTCCAGCATTGTTATGACCACCATCAGCTTGCAGTACCGGGTCCAGCTCTGCACGAATCTTCTCATCATGGACCCTCAACTTCTGGGTGACCCTTTCAAGGGCCACTACCCTTTCTAAAACCATCTGCGTTGCTTTGTCCTGATCCTCTCTAAGGGCAGTTAAAGTCGAGACCGCTGCTTCGTTTCCCGCTGATGGTTTGCCAGTATGCCCCATGCTCTCAAGAACTTGCGACTGCTGTCTGATGTTCTCGATGCTGGCTTCAGTAATCACATCCCTTCCCTCAAGGTCGGCTGTGCGCCCCTCTCTCCAAGGGTTGGAAAGTCATCTGTGAATCTGCAACCAGACAGCCGATGCCACTCCTCAATGTGGCCACTTGCACGTATCTCATCGTTGCTCTGGGCCAGCTGCTGCAAACACGTGGAAGCTTCAGTAGCGTAACTACCAACCATACTTTCAAGTTGCAAAACACCTGTCCGGATCTTGTCTAAACCATCTGCTGCTGTGAGCCCGTTGGCCAACAAATTGGTTCGTCGCTCCACCTCCTGTGCGAATTGCTCAAGATGGCTCCGAACCTCTTTGCGACCACCAATGTGTGACGGGCTAAATCGTATCTGGCGCATCTCGTCAAGCTGCCTAGCAACAAAACCATCAGCGTCTTGTACTTCCCTTAGCCGTCGGTAAAGAATTTCAGGGCCTTCCCCGAGCACTGTCTGGCCAGGGCCGTGCACTGAAGAAACTGCTGCCGCGTTCGATGCTTCCGCTGGTGAAGTTAGCATGCTAACAGCACCACTACCATCACCAGCAGAAGGTAACGTTGGGCAGTCATTACCTCATCAAGATTTGAGGAATCTTCGGAGACTCGTGAGAAATGAGTCGGGGCTGGGCACGATTGATTTGCAAGGGCTCTCTTAATTGATTGATTGAAAAATGGACGTCGTGGTAATCTGAAGACATCACCTCAAAGCCTCACACCCAGATTGCCTGCTACGACCCCCAGCCTATCTATCCGAAGTCCTAATCCCACAACCACCCCCCACAACCAATCCCCGGTCACGGGCGATGTCTACTTCTCAGACTTGAGCCATAGTGTGGCGGTGCACTTCTCGGATGTGTGTGTGTGTCATCCTTGCAATGACTGGCCATGCGTATCACGAACACTCTTACTCTCAGAGATCTCATGCGTTCAGTTGGTTTCCACAGCCAACTGCTAGTCTGGAGCCGCTGTTGCCTAGGAGTGTGATCTGTGTGCTTGCAGAGGGCGCGGTCCTTTTCAGAGAGCACTCAACAAACTATTATTAGCCTTGCGCCGTTTGCATTCTTCTGGGCAGGCTCCCGGGCTGGAGAGGAAAGTTGCCGTTCTTCCAGAACATCCCCGCAGCAAGGAGGGACTGCGTCCATTCACCATTCATCATTCGGGGTGCGTTCCGGGCTTCCTTGTTGTCTGTGTGCGGTAGAAGTTAGCAACAAAACTCACGTGCGACAGCACGATCGACGCCATTGGTTTGGCCGGCATAATGAGTGCTGAGGGTTTGAAGGCCGCTTCAGTTTTTGGGGAGAGTGCAAGCGCTTTTGCCTTCTTGCTGCCTCTGTGTGCCAGGATCTTGCTGCAGCTCTCCAGCACAACAAAGCCATCACCACCCTCGACTTGTTCGACAACGGAATCGATGATGAGGGTGGGAAGGCCCGCGTGGGTGTTTGGGGAGCCTGGGGAACTTTCTGCCTCCTTGTTGCCTTTGCGTGGCAGGCTCTTGCTGAAGCTCTCCAGCACAACAGCACCTTAATCAGCCTCAACTTGCCGTTGAACGGAATCGGTGCTGAGGGTGGGAAGGCCCGTGTGAGTCTTTTGCGAGTCTGGTGGACTTTCTGTCTCCTTGTTGCTGTTGCGTGGCAGGCTCTGGCTGAAGCTCTCCAGCACAACAGCATGTTGTGCACCCTCAACTTGAAGTACAACGACATCGGTGATGAGGGTGGGAAGGCCCGACTCGGCTTCGTTTTCATTTTTGCAGTTTATAGCCTCTCTTGCGCTGTTGCTCCAGGCTTTCCTGAAGGCCCTGAGGCAGAACGCCACGGTCACCAACCTAAACTTGCATAAGAATGGAATCAGTGAGGAGATTTTGAAGCAGGCCCGCTCCAGTGTCTGGCATGTGTGGTTGTCCCCAAGCCGAGCTGGATCACGAAGGTAGATCGGGCGCTTGCGCTGCTTGCGCGAATCGGGGGGAGGACCAGGCCGTCTCAAAGTTGAAATCTCACTCACTGACTGCAAGCACGGGCCGCATCCCTTTGATCTGTGTCAGTCGACACTTACCCCTCATTTTTATTGCCCTGGGACCCGAGACCCTACATCATTATCAGTATCATTATTACCATTATTGACAGTAGTAGCAGCGCGAATATTTTTTCATAATTCATATTACTCTTATTGTTATTTAGTATTGCTAATTCTATGATCACGGCCTACACTCAAGGCCTACACTGAACCCTGAAGTACCATGACCTGGCAAAAGCAGGAACACCTGGTGAATTCCACGGATTGGCCTGAGGCGTTTCGGGACAGAGTTGCACCAATTATTCATTTTCAGGAATTCATATCAAAAATGCAGACGGATTGGCATTTTTTAAGTGATGCTATTTCATCAGTTGGATCCCTTTAATTTTCGTAGGCGCTGGCTGGTCAAGCGCACCAAAACAATGGCGTTGCGTTAGTGCCCTAAGAAGAGGAGTAAAGAAGCAGATTATGCTGGTATCAGCCGTTGCGTAGATCGCGGTGCATCGCTGACATTTACATCAACGCTCCAGTACATATTCTGGGAACAGCTGACTGTGTGTCTGCTTCTTCCTTAAAACAGTTTTGTTATGTTGGGCTTGGTAGCATGAAGCAGAGTTATGCGGTTTCACAATCTGTGCAAAGCAGGTGACTGAACTCAATGACAAGTTGACTACGACGGTCTGACAACCACATATCCTTTCTTACAGGTCCATCATGTGCGCCATTCTAATCCTGGAAACTCGCCGTGCATGTTTGGGCTCCTGTGGCAGGGTGCTGACAGGAAGGAAAGAAGCTGTATGTGTTTCGGTAGGTGGGCCCAGAACATCATATGGCATGTTCATTCCGCTGGAAAGGCGTTTACGGTTTGGGGTTTAGGGAAGCTCAAGGTTTAGGGTTAAGCATTAAAGGAGTTGTACTGATCCCATCATTTGCATCGTGTAACTATGTTGTTGGATCCTGGATTTGGGCCCTAAACCCTAAACCCTAAACCCCAAACCCTAAACCTTGAACCCAGCATGATCCAGCCACGACCCTGCCCCCCCAAAGTCGGAGCGCAGACTTCGGAAGTGTTCCGAGGGCAAAGAGGTCAGGGATCCCTGAAGACTCGAGGCTTCATGTTGGAACTTTCAATATTTTAGGGTTTAGTTTGGGTACTGCCCCCCCCAGTAACAGTCTATATTAGGGGTCCTGTTAAGGGCTATATATAACCCTATTAAAATTCTTATCCAACTGTTTCTGAGGGGGGGCAGTACCCAAGGTTTAGTGTTTCTAGAGTTTAAGTTTCAAGCACCCGCTAATGACAAGGGGTTGGAAGTTTGCGTGAAGCCAGAAAGAACCAATACCAGGGTAGCCAAGATCCTAAACCCTGAACCCTTAGACCGCAAGCCCCTAAGTCCCTAAAGCCTACACCCCTAAACTCTGCCCCCAAACCCTAAACCCCCCGCAAAACCCCAAAGCCACAACACCAGTCTAGGCTGCCCCAGCCCAGCCGAAATCGAGGCTGGGTTTAGGGTTTAGGGTTGAGGGTTTCCGGTTCAGGGATTGCTTAGGGTTTAGTGTTTCAGGATTTAGGGATTTAAGGTTTAGGGGTAAAGGGTTTAGAGATTTAAGGTTTAGGGATCTAGGGGGATTAGGGGATGTAGGGTTTATGGTCAGATTAGGTACGCAGAGTCTCCAAATAGGCTAGTACTGGGATCTATTCCTCATAAAGGCTTTGCGAAGTTTGGGTTGTTCGGTGTGACGGAGTACTATAGGGCTTGAATATTTTCTTGGTTGGTTTCGAGATGCATTGAAAGCACGTGATGACATAGGCTATTAGGAATATGTGAACCGAAAGTTAGGTCCTGCACCTTCAATAAACCCTACACCCCAACTAATAACTAGTTAATGCCGTAACCAGTTTCCACGTTCTTTTCCATTATCGCCATCTATTGAGGCCCCTGCACTTCAACCTTTGCTTGGTGACTCTTCGGGCCCCGACAGTACGACTTCAGGTGGAGGAGAGTTGCTACGAGGTTAAGGTCTAGGGTCCTATGGTCCTTTTTTTGTCCGTTAAACCCTAAACCCCAAACCCTAAACCAATAAACCCTGAAACGACGGATTATGTTTGGGAACTCTATTTACAGCCCTTTCAATCCCCATAGGGGGTGTCTCAGGTGCTGACTGGGAGTTGGGTTCTGCAGTTTCTTGATGCGAGGTCAATATGATTATCATTTTAGGCGAAGAGGATTTGGCTTGATACAGGGTTTGTGAAGTTTGCTTCTCCACAGGCTAGCCCCGCCACTGGAAGCAGCAACTTCCTCCTGAGACGTTTGACCCAGCCCTGAAGTCGCATCATGGCTAGGGTGCAAAAGGGTGTGCAATTCATGCTACATGTCGCCTGGCTGACACATAGTTGTTTAGATCTTGCATGCGCAAGCAGCTTGTTTTGTGAGGACAGGGTCTAGTGCTCAGTTCTGCTACAGTTTAGGCAAGTTTCCAGTTGGTTCTACTTCAAGGGCTCATGATTGGGCAGTGGTGAGTCCGCATCACTTTCTCAACGCATTTTGCCGCAAGACTCTCTGCTTGGTTGAAGCTTTTTGGCCCTCAGTCAGTGGCATGCAACAACAGCCACAGGTCACACTGTGCCATATCGGCTCTTGTATGTGGCAGTTTTCCAAAACAGTCCACTCTTATCCTGAATATGGACCTCTATATCCGCAGAGTCCCGAAAGCACCCCGCGTTTAAAGCAACCCGCTTGTTTCATTTCATTGGACCAGGAGCCATTCCTAAGAACCTGCAGTTCGCATGCGTTCCTCTCTCAACAACCTGATGATAAACCTGTTGCCGTCACTCCCTTGCTGCCTGGCCAGTGCCAAGCATGAGATTTGTTGGATTTCATCTGCTGCAGGACCCGTGGTTGGAATTTCTGGTTCTGTGTACGGAGCCTGCTGCTATGGCTAGCAGCGTTCTTTGTGCAGTGATTTCGCCTTCGGGGTGGGGACTGAAATTGTAAGTCTTGCCGTGAGTCGCTTGAAATTCCTGCAAAGGATGGAGTTGATGGTAGGGTTGCCTCAGCCGAATGCAACTCCTACATGCCTGGAGCCCTGAATGCACTGAGTGCTACATTCCCATGCGTTGCTACCCGTACGCTTTGCAAGTGGCCATGGTCTACACCGGCCATGATCTACAGTGGCCTTCTGAAGGACAGTCCCCGAGGCACTGACTAATTTTGAGAAGTCCTCAACTATGAATTCTTGATTCTAATTGGTTGCGAAGGCCTTCTGTGGACTAGTTGATCAGTAGAGTACGGACTTTCAGGTTAGGGCTGCAGGTAGGGTTACTTGTACATGTAATCCTATATAGGGCCCCTACATGTAGCCCGGAGATAATCCCTAGTTGGGAAGTAACGTTTAGGGTCCAGGGTAGCCCTTATTCCAGATCAGCATCATGCACCAGCAGTGCCAATTGACCTTGTATTGGGCTTTCGTATATCCACTCCTTTGCTTTCTGGTTCAATCTAAGCCCTACTTGGAGGCCCATGGGACTTAGTAACTACTTATAATTGGGCTTATAACCCTACTTATAATCCCCCTAAATGGGCTTATAGGGGTTACCCCAATTATAAGTGGGGTTATACTCCCAGTTATAAGTAGTTACTAAGTCCCATGGGCCTCCAAGTAAATCCCATACCCAAAGAATCTGTTGCAGAGAACCTGGTCAATTGACTTTTTTGTGAAGCCGTTCCAGCTGGTCAAAAAAGGATCCAGAAACATTTAAACCCTAAGCTCTAAACTCCTAAATTCCGTAGCACGAAATTCTTAACCCTAAGCCACGCTACAACCTCCACCCTATACCGTAAACCCTTAACTCTGGACACGCAAACCTAAGATCTAACCTTCCATTCCACCAGGAGACGAGACACCCTGAGTGAAGCCTGCTGCTGACCGGTGGACCAGGCCACAGCCTGGAAACAGGGTTTGGGGTTGAAGGCTTACAGTTTTTGGTTTAGGGTTTAGGGTTGAAGGGTTGGGGTTTCTGGTTCAGGGTTTAGGGTTTGAGGTTTAGGGCTAAGGATTCAGGGTTTTGGGTTTAAGCCAAAGCCCGCAACCCTTCGCTCCAAAGCCACCTTCCAGGCTAAGACTGCGGGATGTCCTAAGCCTATAGGGGTGGTTGTCAAAATTAGGGTACCTGCTGATGTGCAGGAGC